TCTAGGATGTGAAAAATAGAGGTAAAATTGCCCAGAGTTCTGTGTTTGGAGTTCTAAACTTTTTAGGATTTAAGCAGTGGTTGCTACATGGCATCAAAGAGAGTGGAGGAGGAAAGGATGCTATCAGTTGGTGCCAAAAGCAAACTGGAAGCCCTGGTGCATATTTGTGTAAATATGCTGTCTGGGCTTGTTAAGCCCTCCTTACCGCAGACCTCTTCATCACCCTGAACATCGCCTTTTGAAATATTTCTGGCCAGGTGCGGTGGTTGACACCTGTAATCCCAGCACTTTGGGAGGCCCAGGCAGGCAGATCACCTGAGGTCAGGAGTCTGAGACCAAACTGGCCAATATGGTAAAACCCTGTCTCTACAAAAAATACAAAAATTAGCCAGGCGTGATGGCGGGCACCTATATTCCCAGCTACTCTGGAGGCTGAGGCAGGAGAATTACTTGAACCCGGGAGGTGGAGGTTGCAGTGAGCCGAGATCATGCCACTGCACTCCAGCCTGAGTAACAGAGTGAAACTCTGGCTCAAAAAAAAAAAAAAAAAAAAAAAAAAAGGAAAAAGAAAGAAAGAAATGCAAAGGTGTATTCTTGTCTTTGGGAGGCTTTGCTCATGAGTCCTGACAGATAATAATGTTTTCCTGACCAAACTGTGAAAAAAAGTTGTTGTCTCGGGAAAACACCATCCTTTAAGCATAGACTTGAAGAGGAATTTCTTGATTTCCCATTGTCACACTGAGTACTGAGGATACCCAGTTTAGTCCTTTGAACTTAGAATTCTGAGAAATTTAGGAGTATCAGAATTGAACTAAAATAAAATTTAAAAACATTAAAAAGCTAACATTTATGAGATGCTTACTACATTCTGGATATTATCAGTAATTTTACATACATTATTAACTCATTCCCAGCTTGGACTAAAGAGCAACAACACTACTAAGCATATATTATGACTATCTTCATTTTACGGAAGAGGAAACTAAAACATAGAAACCTTGTTTAAGGTCACACAGCTGGTGAATGTCAACCCAGTCTATTATTAGGAATAGAAATCTATGTCCAGATTATACACACACACACACAAATATATATATACACTATTACATATACTATTATATTTTATTATATATATTTTATATATATGTATGTATACTATTATAGTTGAACTACCAGTGCAGACATTCTGGAATTTGCTTTGGGGTCTAAACTCAAGAGATCTCCTGGATTCAGTAGCATTGATAGAAGGCACTGGGTCAAGGACCGGAAAAACAGTGATGTAACAGAGGTCCCTGGACCCACATGTTATCACTGTCACTGACAAGAACATGCCACTTCTTTCAAAGCCCCACTGCCTTCCACCATACATGATGTCTCAGGCAACACTTGGGCCAGATAACACAGCACAGCCTGGCAGAGCAGAGACGAGTTTTGAGGCTGGAAAGGGCTGGTGTGATAAGAAATTGCAAGAAAAGGAACTGAGGTAATGAGTCTTGTCCACCAGGTGGAGTGAGGTGTTGCAGTCTGGGTGATGCAAGGAAACCTGCAGAGAATAATACTACACCAATAGTGGCAGAGACCCATAATTCAGGCAGAAGTATTTCTATTTCACTTTGTGTTCTTCTCAAACGGCTGCTGCAAATCTATTGTCATAGCTATGTTTACTTTTGTCTTCTTGCCAACAACTGCAGCTCTGGGGTGAGTACTTCTGGCTGGAATGGCAGTGCCTGGCAAATTCTTTGCAAGTGCATGACTGGCATCACTTCTGAGTTGCCTCTGCACCTCCAGAGCTCTGGGCATAGCTGAAGAGTACAAACACCCCCCAATCTTGTCCCCAGGCTCTCCAGAGGCAGCATCTGAAAAGTGTGATCTGGTAGTCCACAAGCTTCCCATGAGCATCCCAGGAGACTCCCCAGTAGTAAACCATGACCCGCTGTCAAGTTGGATGACTGTCAGACTGTCTGGGAGTGGGGAGAAACAGATACTGTTTAATCTTTCAGAATGCAAAGGGGGAAGTCTGATTCACTGGTAGATAGGGGACTGGCTGTGGTGGCTGATGCTTTCTGGCATTCTGTAGTTGTAAATGGATCTGTTTCTAGAAATAGAAATCATATTAAGCAAAACACACACACACCCCTCATGTGGATTAAGCAACACACACACGCACACACACACACAACCATGGAAGAACAATTTCTACAAGGAGAGCACTGAACCTTGCTTCTCAGGAAGAAAGGAATGGAGGAGGGAGGAAAGGAGGGGAGGGGAAGGAATGGGAAGGGACAGGAGGGAAGGGGAGGGGAGACAGAGAGGTAGCAGGGTTGTGGGGTAGGGATGGAGAGAAAGAGGGAGGGGAGGGGAAGGAAAAAAAGAAAGAAAAGAAAATCTTTTCGGCTGGGCGCAGTGGCTCATGCCTGTAATCCCAGCACTTTGGGAGGCTGAGGCAGGCGGATCACGAGGTTGTGAAATCAATACCATCCTGGCTAACACGGTGAAACCCCGTCTCTACTAAAAAATACAAAAAACTAGCCGGGCGAGGTGGCGGGCACCTGTAGTCCCAGCTACTCGGGAGGCTGAGGCAGGAGAATGGCGCGAACCCGGGAGGCGGAGCTTGCAGTGAGCCGAGATGGCGCCACTGCACTCCAGCCTGGGCGACAGAGCAAGACTCTGTCTCAAAAAAGAAGAGAAGAGAAGGGGAGGGGACGGGAGGGGATCTTTTTAAGAGAAGCTTGCTGTAATTTTTCAAGAAAACAGCTAACTTCGCCCGTGAACGTTTTAATTCTTAAAAAGTTTTGTCCATGAAGGGAAAAGCAAAGCAAAAGGAAGAGATAGAGAGATGGGGTGATTTCACAATTGTGTTTTCATTCCAATCAAATTAAAAGAGAGTATTACTGGCCGGGTGCGGCAGCTCGTCTGTAATCCCAGCACTATGGGAGGCTGAGGTGGCTGGATCACGAGGTCAGGAGATGGAGACCATCCTGGCTGTCTCCTGACAGTGAAACCCCATCTCCACTAAAAATACAAAAAAATTAGTTGGGCGTGGTGGCGGGTGCCTGTCGTGCCAGCCAAAAGCTGAGGCAGGAGAATGGCGTGAACCTGAAAGGCGGAGCTTGCACTGAGCCGAGATTGCACCCCTGCACTCCAGCGTGGGCAACACAGTGAGACTCCATCTCAAAAAATAAAAAAAGAGTATTACTTTCAGCATCTAAAACAATCTAAGTTTAATTCCTACAATGGCATTGTTCAGTTTGCCTTATCCACCAAACACTAATGAAGTGAGAGATAATTAGGACACCAGAGAGGGAGTCTTGTTGAACAGAAAAAAAGAAATTCTGATCTGGATGCTGGAGTGGACCAAAGAAAGAGATTTTCAATTCTTTATAAAACATCCAAAAGAAAAGAGAGCATTATCTATCCTGAATGGCTCAAACATTAATTTGAATCACATTTTTTTCTCTACAGATGTACTCCAAGGTAGTTATTTATTTATTTATTTATTTATTTATTTATTGAGACAAGGTCTCGCTCTGTTGCCCAGGCTGGAGTGCAGTGGTGTGACTGCAGCGTGACTGCAGCCTCAAACTCATGGGCTCAAGGGATCCTTCCACCTCAGCCCCCCAAGTAGCTGGGACTACAGGTGTATGCCACCACATCCTACTATGCCCCACTAATTTTGTATTTTTTTATTTTTTGTAGAGACAAGGTCTCGCTGTGATGCCCAGGCTGGTCTCAACTTCTGGGCTCAAGTGATCCTCCCACCTCAGGCTCAGACATGAGCCATGGTGCTCAGCCTATTTTTATTTTTTTAGAGACCATGTCTTGCCGTGTTTCTCAGACCGGAGTGCATGGCTATTTGGAGGCACTGTTGCCTCATCAGTGGCACTGCTGCCTCCAACTTCTGGGCTCAAGCTGTCCTCTCACCTCTGCTTCCCGAGTAGCTGGGACTACAGGCCTGGATATTATGCCTGGCCCATATGCTTCTGGAGATCATTCTGCCTTTTAGAAACATTTTTTTCTTTTTTTGAGATGGTGTCTCTGTCATCCAGGCTGGAGGGCAGTGGTGTGATCTCAGCCTCACTGCAATCTCTGCCTCCCAGGAGACCTGCTTTGTGGCTACACATGTGGTCATCCTTAGAGTATGCCCAGGTTCTAGACTATTAGTTTCCTTGGGTCCTCTTTTAAACAGCCTGAGTCCTGATGTTCTGAATTTTATGTACAAAGAAAATGTTTCTACAGAGGGATATCCAAATTTAGTACTGTAATGTAATGATGCATTTTACAACACAACTACTATCAGCGTGTTTCCAGTTTAGCACCAAAAAGTTGATACTGACATAACCTTTCCTGAGAACAATAATGAACTTTAAGTGAAAGATTTATCTTTCTGAAAAATGGATATTATTCCATGTCCCTTTTTTTTCTTTTTGGCATCTATGGATGAAAACACTTTCTACTTCTGAAATCCATCTACTAAGTGTTTCTGAAAAGCGTTTTTCTGAAGGCTGCCATCCAATTCTGCTATCTCAATGAAACTTCTCCTCCAGTATAGCCTTTCAGATCTCACACAAAATGCCCTAGATTAGTCTTCAGGGGATCTTGATGCTTTTTAATGATTCGCACCAATGTGTAGAATTGTTTGCCACTATAAGCAAGTATCTCCAGAGAAGATATCCCTGAGATAATCCAGTGTTTCATATGGTGAGTATTTATACTTCTATCTATTTATTTTATCTCAAAGCATTTTTGGCTGTGTGTCATTAATGTTTCATAATAATTATAGCAATACATGTATGTAACTCACTAATTTATAAACATGCATCCATATAGATGTGAATATTAGGTGGTATAAACTCAAATTTTTTTACTAAAGGGACACTGTGAAGAACTTTGCTACCACCTTTTTAGTTTTTTAAGATATATGTATTTATACTTGTTTGACTTTTTGGAGAATAACTTCTATGGATTATGCTTAGAAGCACCACAACCCTTCCATCTGAAAATTGGCTGGGAAATAAAACAAGCTTTCTCCTCAGCAGTTTCAACCTCAACTGTCTCCCCATGCATTCATAGTGGAAACAACTGGTCAAGCTATAGAACAGGAAAATTAAAACCTGGGTTCTTGCTGTGGTTCCAGCCCAGGAAAGCCATAAACGTGTTAAATCACACATTGACCAAAAGGAAATGCAAGCAGCAACATTGCCTTAACTATTAATGCTTTAAGGATAACTTTTA